AGCAGGAAACTTGGTGACATGAGGTAAGATTCTGTTTCGCGCTCCAGTGCTTTGATGTTGGTTTCAAACAGTAATGAGACTTTAGACAATAACTAGGCTTTTTTCCATTTTTTTATTTAGTTGGTAGCATATTGCTGTTGATGAAGTACCTTCTTCTATGCGGCCCTGTACATTGTAGTTTAGGCCAGATTAAACACTTATTAAAGACTTGATGGGATTAAACCCGTTCTAAGGCATTTAAGTTTGATTCAGCTGAGGAGAACTGTCAGAACGTTTTTAAGCAGCCTTCCCCCTTTTACTGTCATATGGTTTCACTGCAGCTTTTATGTCATATGTAAGAAACTAGTATTAAAGTTTACTTTTTCCGTTCATTGCTGGATTATGGAAGTGTGTTTCCTCAGTGTTACTGCTTAGGGCTAGAAAGGGGTCACCAGTCCTGTGCTCTGTTATGCTTTAAAATGGGGCAAAGTCTAGATGCTGCATTTCATGCGGTATCAAGTCCTGTGTGTTGACTTTCTGCACAGAAGGGCAGAATGCCTTCCAGGCACAGTTGTGTCATGTTGATTGGAAGATATGAATTGATTCAGAAGCTCATGACAACATTAAAAATTTCTTCTTGTGCTTGGTGGTTATGTAGAGTCCTTAAGCAGATGACTGCTGAAGCAACTGCAAATTTAAACCTCTCTGAATTGGAAAGTGGAGGGCTGGTTCCCTTGGTTGCTGGCTGAGGTTCTTGCTCTGCAAATTTCTCAGCTGTACAAAGTTGAAGGTTAGAATTAGTGATTTACCTGATCTTCAGAACTTTAAGCTAAAGATTGCTTTTCCCATTAAAGGTAATGTCCAAGTTTTTCATGCAAAATACCTTGAACACACCTTTCTTGGAATGGAGAGCTGATTCTGAATATACAACCTGTCTAGGTAGTAAGGAAGTATTCTTAGAGCTTTTATTTAACATGATTGAATGGGTAGCTGTCATTCTTTGTAGGGAGTTTGCTATTCTACTGTGGCTGGGAGTATCCAAGTGGTAAGAACTTGTTGGCCTCTCTAGTATCATGGTACTGATTTATTCTAGTTCTGTCCTTGGTGAGTGAGTTACTGTGTTCCTGGAGGGTAATTTTTGGTGAGCATTTTCAGTAGCTCACTTCTCTGAATTTGGCAGAGGACTAGTTGGTTTCCTACCCTTTCCAGTTTTTCTTTCTTGGAAACTACCTAGTCTACTGGAAGAAGAGATTTACATGTAATCACAGCAGACTGATGTTGGTGCCAGATGTGGTGGTAATAGATTTTCCTAAACTGATAATAGTGACGTAAATCTGTGTCCTGACTTCTGCAAGCTGGTCAGGCTGTTGTGGCAAAGGGATAGGAACTGTGCTTTTTAGACCCAACAGGGAACTCCTGAACCAGTGTTGCCGCCAGAAGAAGCTGTTCTGACAGGCTTGGTCCTGCCTGTTGTCTTTTGGTTGGGAGAATCCAGTTCACCATGTAGCTGCAGAGATGTTTGTGCCACCCCAGGAGCAGATGCTGGAGGGAGGGGACGCCTGGTTGAGAGAAGAGTGTGCCCGTTACTCCTGGTGACAGAGCTGGCCTGACACAGTCGTAGCGAAAACTGGCTGTGAAGTCAGCTGGCCTACAAACAAGTCAGACCTTTGCAGCAATGATGTCGCTCAGCATTAGTCACCAGTTTAAAGATCTGCATTCCTTTTTATAGCTAATACCTTGGGTGATGTGTTATGAAATAGAGGCAGCTTCTGTCTTATGTCTTGGGAATCCCTTCAGCAGGATTTGCTTTGCATATGTGGCCCTGTCGGGGAACACAGTAACGACTGTTTTTTTTTAAGACTTCCAGTTTTTGTATGTGTATATAAGCAGACTTCTGTCTCTTGTGCTGCATTCAAGTCTTGATCTTTCTGATTCTGAATAAGGTTTTAACTCTGAGCATAAGTGTCCGCAGGAACTGTGTCACTTTCTACCCTTGCCAGGTGAAACTCTGAATGGTGTTCTGAGATGTGATCAGAGCTGATGAGGAGTGAAGTCTGTTGTGTTGTTGTGATCGCTTCTCTGGAGGAGTGGGGGTGATCTCTGTTCCCACAGAATCTCTGTTACAGGCCTTGTAGCCTACACTGCAACCTCGTTCCTGTACTTTCTTTTTTCCTCTTACACTACAAATTCACTTGTAAAGCAGGTTTATTTTCCATCACTGGAAGTGTTGAGATAACAGAAGGGATTTCCTTGTTTAGTCAGCCTTCACCGGTTGATAAATGCAAGGAAGGCGTGATGAGTGGGACAAACGCCTCTGATACACGGAGGGCGTAGTCATAATTCCATTAAAAACACTTGGACCAAAATGCTGTGAAACACAAGTAATGTGTCCCTGGGTTAAATCTTTAGGGTTGCTGTATTCTGGTCAAAATAATTCAAAATGTTATAGCTGTGGACTGTAAGGAGACATTGTGAAGTGAATGCGGTGACTGTGCACTAACTGTATTAATGCTGTTGCTCTATTAGCTTGCCTTGAGGGGAGAAAATGTTCCTTAATTAGTGGGTGGGATTTTTCAAATCTTGGCCAATTCAGCTTTTTCTGTTATCTCCACGTACAGTTAAAAAGTAAATTGGCTTTCAGACGTTCTGTTCCTGCATTTTACTGAGCCCAGTAAACTGCAAAATAGAAAGTGTTTTCTTTTTGTTGATAACAACTTGCTTTGTGGTTTTCTGTCCCCCAATACACTCCATGTTGTCTGATGGGGTCTGCGCTACATAATACTACAAGCAAATTCATTGTGAAATGTTAGTCCAAGCCCCAAAGGTGCCTGCAAATTCCTGAATTTATGTAAACTTTAAATCCTTATGAAAGGAGGAAAAGGGTTGCTGCTAGGTCCAGGCCAAGATACTGAACAAATGAACCAGTGCTTGTGGTATTGCATACAGAGTAGCATGGTGCATGGACATGTGTTATCTCTGGTGTTCTCCTTTTAAGCAAAAGTAAGTAGAAAGTTAATTTATTTCACATGCAAAGACAGCATTTCATGGAGTCTGCCCTGCCAAAGAGCTGACTTGGATGCATGGGGAAATGAAACCGCAAAGCCTAACGTCTTTGCTCTGGCTGTGAGGAAAAGCCCTTGTACTCCTTGCCAGGTACTTCAGATCCAACTTGCCGTGACTGCTTCCTGCTGGAGGGACAAAAATTATATTTAAGTGGAATAAAACACTGCTTCTGGTAGGTGAAGCTCCTTTAGAGCATCCTGGTAGTCTCACCAGGAGAAGTAGGAAACCTTGGTCTGTTATTTCAAATGACTACTGAGATGCTACTGCCTTGCAAAATTACATGTGAAAATCTGGTAACCTGATGGGGGATAGTTTGCCTTGAAGCCTAAAAATGAGCAACTAAGTTGTGGGGTAAACATGATACCTTTTATCCAGATACTCTGATCTTTATTATGCTGAGATGTGTTTGTTCTCTGAGCTGTAACTTTGAGATCTGCAGGCTTGGCAACATAACGTGCAGGTATCCGTTGCAGATTTCCGTTACCGAAGTTCTCAACCGGAAGTCCTAGCAGTGCTGTCTTTGTATGAGATCTCAGGGGGGAGAAATGGGCAAAGGAGGTATCTTTACCAAATTAGCTAGCGCTTGGTAAAGCCCTCAGCTTAGGAAAACATGCTCTAAAAAAAAAAAAAAAAAAAAAAAAAATCGCATGAAAGCAATGGATGGGGGTAGGTAAAATGTTTTGGGTTTTTGTTGTTGTTGCACACCCACTCCTTTCCCTCCCCAGCACCCTGGCTCTAACTTGCTGTAGGTGCTGTTACTGTTCTCTGAAAAACCTCTTAGCTTGGCTTGAGTTAATTAAAAGCAATTGGTTTTTGCTTGCTTCTGTAATCTATTTTGAGAGGCTTCCTCCTGGCTAGTTGACTTTGCTGTCCTGTGATCCTATGACGATGTCCCTGCTTAGCTGCCCCGCATTTATTGTTGAGATCTGCACAAGTGTCTGACTGTTGCTTCCCTTTTCTCTCTGCTGCTCGTGGCTTCTCCCAGGGCTCACCCCTTCTCGCATTCCTTTAGGTAAGATACTCTTCAAGGCTGCTAAAAGAGCATTTGTTTCTATGCCAGGCCCTTGCAGACGTTAAGGGGGAAGCTGATTATTTAAGCCTTGCCTACACTTTTGACACAGATTGAGAAACCTTCCACAAACCAATGCCCTGTAATTGACTTTTGTGTCACAGTTGCAGTTTGCAGTTAAATATTCATGCTTACAGTCCTATGTCTGGAAAATTAAGTTCTGGGCTGCAGCTGTTAAATAAGAGAAGAGAGGGCTGGCTCTTAACGCTTCAGTCCTCCACGGCAGCCTGTGTGTGTGGACAGTAAGTGCTTAAGAACGAGGGGTACGCTGCTTTTGCGTGGTGTCTGTGTAAAATTGCCGTTTAACTTTTTCCTCCTTATTCTGCATGCTTCCGAGTAGCAGTTACTCCATTCGCCACTCGATAAGTATGCCAGCAATGAGGTAATGTAGCAAATAAATACCTGTATCTCCCGAGTAGTGGGGTTGGTGGGAGAGTACAGCTGACTCTGTCGTTATTTGGGTTTTTGTTCTGATTTGTACAACTGGTTTCCCTTCTTAAGCAAACCCTGCTCAGAGTATGGGGTAACTGCATCCCACAGCTTGAGTAATTCCGGGTGGTTTTTTACCCAATCTCTCTTTATGGTTATTAGCACCTGTGTTGTTCTTGGACTAAGCGCAGTGTTGCAACTGTGCTAAAGTCTAATTGAAATTCGCAGCTTTCAGAGGTCCCTGAGGAGCGGGGATTACAGTCCTCCTCTCGCAACGTACGGCATGGGCGTCGCTAATACCGAGGTGATTCCCAAGCTGGACCCTCTGTCTCCAGCTGGGAGGCTCAGTGCCCTTCTCGCCTGCCCTTGTGGTGCATTAGGTGGTGATCTCCTCGCAGGAGAAACGACTGCCAGGGCTGGACAAGGCCCACAGAACCTCTCCGTTCATCCTCGTTCCAGATCGACGGAGGTTATTTTATGGGCGCAGATATAAAGTGGTTCTTTGGACCAAAAATAACTGGGATGTGGCTCGTCAGTTCCCAGCGCTCCCGCAGCCTAGCCTGGGGAGATCAGCTCTGGATGCGTAATTGCCCGGTCTGAATGCTCGGTACAGAGCACTCCCCTGGGATCGTTCGCATGCAGAGCAGCTTGTTAGGTTGTCAAACAGTTGACCTGGTTTTCTTTGCTAGAAATGTGAAATCCTCTGATTAATTTATTACGCTGTGGTTTTTAGGAGCATTTCCTGATGCAAATGATCACTCCTGTAGTAACGAAACCGCCCATAGGTACAGGCACATGGCCCTTCCCCTTCCTGCCCGCGGGATGCAATATGGGAAACTGAAGCCTTTGTTTTAAACCCTTCTCAGCTTTTCCTTTCCATTATTTAAGACAGCATGCTTTTAGCTGGAAGCCTTGTAGAACTAAGAGCTAGCTTCTTCTCTACTTATCATGAGTTGATTCCCTAGTGAACTAGAACTTGTTTCCCTCAACATTTTAGCTTGAGCAATTGGGTGGATTGCACGTGCTGTCACTGTTTTCCTTCAGAGTTTGTATGTCTGGTGTGCCTGAGACATTTGTGCCAAAGGCTGTTAGGAGCTGGAAGTGTTCTGGGTGCTGCTGTCGCTGCGTGGGAATGACCAGCAAGCACAGTCACACTGTGCAATTTGATTTAGTTAAGAACTTGTCTTGATCTTGTTGTTTTTTTTTTTTTTTTTCCCCCTCTCCTTTTGTCAAGGAATTCTGCAACCTTCAAGTCATTTGAAGATAGAGTTGGGACCATAAAGGTAACAGTCTGCTTTGCCTTGTAAACATACAGCCTGAAGCCTTATGCAGAAACTTTAATTTCTGCAATGTTTTTCTTGTAGACTAGTATTTGGGCAAATGGCCTCTCAGATATGTGAAGTCTTTGCTACAGTAGGTGACCTTGACAAGTGGGAATTGGCTTGGCATTCTCAGTGCTGGTTTCTTGTTATCCTAACGCTCTTCTCTTCTTTCAGTCCAGAGTGGTGGGCAGCAGGGAAAATAGCACTGACAGCCTCCACTCCCCCTCAGGAGCTGGAGACAAGCCTCCACAGGACAACGCTCCTTTCTAGACCTGCGACGTGGCTTTGCACGGCTGTGCGCAACTGTAAGAGCAAGCCCTCTCCCTCCCAAATCTTCACAACAGTGACGACATGCAAATCCAAGACGGGACTGAGAGCCAGTCTGGAGAGATCCATCGTTCATTCATAGACACTGCTGCTGGATCCAAGTCAAATAAAGAGAATGCAAAGTTTTGTACACAAATAATATTTTACACTAAAGTTTGTAGATTAAATGTATCACTGCTGTCCTTTTGGGAGAGCACGTAAGATGGAGTTTCCTTAAAGTAGCTCAGAAATGCCACTGGTATAGATAAAAACGGTTTTCCCTTGTCTGACATAACTTGGAACTGATACATTGCCCTGAGCAGCGAGGAGGGCAGTTACCGGAGAAGCCATGTGCACGGGCATCTTAGCTTCAGCTTCTGGCTGCATTCTCCGTTCAGAGCATGCCACACAGCTACTCTGTGAGCTCCCAGGCTTCTCCTGTTACTGTTTGCTCTGGCTCTCATTGGCGTTAGTCTGGTAAATGGGGTAAACACTTGGGGTTTGTTTTCTGGGCTCCCAAAAGGGAAACTTCACTTAGCAGCTGCCTCGTTGCTACACTAATGCTCTAGCTTTAACAAAACTAAAATCTTTATTTTTAAATGCAATGAACTTTAAAGAAATAAAGCTTAAAAAAAAAAAAAACACAAACAAAAAAACAAAAACCAACAAACCACGCTTCGGCATCCTGTTAGGGACATGCTCCCTTGGACTCTGAAACTGCATTGCAAGCCTTACATCACCTTATGCTGTACTCGTTTATCATTTTTTTCCTATAGAGAAGACTGTAAGGGTTATAAAGCTGGATGTTGAGTGCTGGAGTTTTGCATCATACGGTAGTAGCAGCATGCTTATAAGCCTGTTCTTGTGTTAAATTCAGTGGTGCACTCCATTTCCTGAGTGTATGAAACTTGCTTCTCCCTTCTCGGTTTATGCCTTTGTCCTTGGAGGAAGAGTTTCTGAAGGCTGCTAGCAACAGGGCCGGGGGAAACGGGCCAAAGCTGTCTCTAGCAATATGGACACCATGTTGGAGGGACTCTGCGGGCTCCTCCGTCTGGTACATCTGACTCTGACTGGATGGGTTTTTCAGTTGAAAGCCCCAGCTCTAATCTTGGTTTACAAGACTGGCAGAGAGTCGCAGAGCTCAACCAGTTCCTGCAGGGGCTGGATGTTTTGCTCTTTTGACGTCCAACTTGATTGCTCAGGAGCTGAAAAATTCTGAGTTTCTAGAGGCCTGATCTTAGCCTAGGCAAGGTGCCGCCGCATAGACATACCTAGAGTGAGCAATTCTGTGCCTTAGAGGCGACGGGGGACTTACTCAGGTCTTTCGACTGGCTTACGTACATATCTGGGTAGTTTTAGTGGTTTATCACCCTGGAGGGACTGAACCGTCGCTGACCCTTCTTTAGAGAAGCAAGTTTTGTCACTTCCCTGCTGATTAATCTCCGTTTCCCCCACCCCTGCTCCCCTCCCTCTGCAGACCTGGGGACACGGGAGGAAGCATCAGAAGGCAGATGTACGAGGCAGTAGTGGAGTGTCGTGTCATTTACCGGTGCTCCGTGTTTGACTGGAGCCTCCCTGCGAGGAGCAGAGCCGGTGAGACGGGGACCGCTGGAGCTTGGGTATTGAACTGTTTCTCTTTACAGATAAAGACTGAGGAAACTTGTCAATAAAGCATTCCTTTGGGAGAAAACGGGGTGACTGTTCTTGTCTTGGCCTATCTAACAGAACTAAAGTCTGCTCGTAGGTGTGTGTTACGAACTTGTCACCCAAATTCCAGCCGCCTGCAGTGGCTGGAGGCGAGAACCCACTGAAATATTCCGTTCTGTCCCTCTGGCTTCTTTGTCTGTCAGCTCTCCGGCTGCTTTCTCATGAAGGGATGTACTAAATAATATTCACATTCTGGTGTTTCCTTTTTGAGACACTGAACACCAGCTGGTTCCCAAGACATACCTGTGCTCAACCAAGGGCTGCAAGCCCACGCTTATCCTCCGAGTACCCTCGCGTTGCTCCCTTCACCGCCGGTGCACCAGGCATGCCTCCCGCTTCCTCCCACCGTTCTCCTGAGCTGGGAGCGTGGGACCGCGGCCGCAGCAGTAACCTTGGCAGTGGGGGCTGAGGCTGGAGAAACTTCGAATGTGGAAAAGCAGCAGCTGTGGTGCTGGCTCGGATTTACGGCGTGATACCTCAGGGAATCGGTTTCTTGGAAGCTCTGGCAGTCGCTACTGATTTAAACAGCACGGTGCAGGGGGAGCAGTGAATCATAGAACCACAGAACCTTTGGGCGCGAAGGGACCTTCAAGGCCATCTAGTCCAACCCCCCGCAGCGAGCAGGGACATCTGCAACGGGAGCAGGGTGCTCAGAGCCCCGTCCAGCCTGACCTGGGATGTTCCCAGGGACGGGGCATCGACCACCTCCCTGGGCAACCTGGGCCAGGGGTTCACCACGTTCATGGTAAAAAATTTCTCCCTTGTATCTAG